TTGTCAGCACTTTAGTAAATGTATAGAGAACAGTATGGAGAATATAAAATACTGAGATTAGGGACTGAAGGGTAAACAGATTATGTAAAGGGTTTTTCCAGTTTGAACTATTGCTTTTATTTGTTTGTTTGTCTGTCTGTCTGTCTGTTTGTTTGTTTGTTTGTTTGTTTTAACCAGAATTAACAGAATTTTTTTAACTCACCCCTCTTTTTCTAATGAAAGTGGTTCATATGCATCCTCGTAGTGCTTGATACGCTTCCTGAAATCTTTAACGGCTGTATCTCGGTCCACAGTCACATAGTCTGGGCTGAAAACTTTAACTTCCTGTGGAGGTAAAGTTGAAGCTGGAGAATCTACCCATACCTCCCATGTTTTAAACTCCTCATTACTGAGAAATTCATGTCCCATCACCTGTAAATAAAAATACAAAAAGCAAATTCAGCATGATCTAGTTTAGGAAGTTTAAAACCTTGATGGAAAAGAAAAATAAAAGGAAAGACAAGAAAGCCTAGAAATGTAAACTGAGTTTGAAGAAATAGCGTGCGCCAAGGTCCTTTGTCTTTTATATATAGAAACAAAGCACTAGCCTGTGATGAAAAATATTAAAGGTACTTGGAATTCAATTACCATTGTCAAATCTTACATGTACTTCAGGGTCGAGTAAACTATCCGCGCACATCTTAAACAGACATATAGAACGGTCAATGCAGTTTACAAGTAAATAATGAAAGCAAGAAGAACAGAGAAATCTTAAAGGAAGGAAATGGAATAAATAAAAATGAATGAATGAATGAATGAATGAGTGATCAAACAAGTGGATGTAAGGACAAAGATTGCTTCTCTTCATTAATTTTCTGGTCAGTTGGTTTTGTGTTCAGAGGAACAACTGCACGAACAAACGCACCAAATGAACACAAAAACAAATTATTAAACGAAAAGTCAAACACAAATACAATGGAGGAATAAAAGCATTTTCTAAGCACATTACACAACATGAAGAACCCGTCTCTTTCAAAACATGATAATCTGGTTTATCACTGTAGTTGATAAGGTTAATTGGCCACCGTAAACAGTTTTAAAGCCGACGCTTCGAGCGTTAGCCCTTCGACGTAGCGAAACATTAATTCTACATGTTTTCTAGTCGTGGTCATACTTAGTAACTCATACACTAACAAGCCCTATTGACCATCAGTTTTGACCAAGGTTGACCACAGTCAATTTTGTGCCATTTAACATTCATGGTTCCACCATTGCCAAACCATGGTTGACATGGTTGTTGACCATGGAGCACCATGGAAAGACCACGGTTGACCATGGTCTATCAATGGCTTTGACACCAGGGTATTGCTTAATGATAACTAATTCCTATACCCTGTGACTAAGTGTATCAGGTTTAAATGTTCTTTAGATTTTAATTCTCCTGGCTGGTAAAGTTTGTTGCTTGTAATTAAATGAGACATGCCATAAAAAAATGTTTGACTCAACAAGGAAAAACAAATATAATTGGTAATAAGACAAAGAGCTTTCAACACTGTGATTTACATGTGAATTACAAGAACAAAAGTCAAATTATTGCCTTTACAACATTGATTTTGGGTCTGCATTGTTCATGTACATAAATGAATTACCCTAGCACTATAATTCTGTTTGTTAGGGCAGATTTAATGTAACAAGCCATGTGAAGGGAACAGAGGTGGGAAAAAACTGAGGTACAGGGCTGTGGTTACAGCATGATAGCTTAAAGAAAGATATATTGAATTTATCTTTTCATTAAAATTACTTAATCTGTATAAAAATAACACAATTTGCCAAAAAAAAAAACAAACCTTAATATTTGCAGCGACAATATCTGAATCTTCACAAATGGATTCCATGAAAAAAACCTCAAAGATAAATAAAAATATCATTCAGTTGATGAAGCTGACTCCACCATCATAAAATACTGTGGTGAATCAACAGACAGAGTATAGACAGCTGACTACACAATACTCAGAGCGATAAAATCATGCATACTGCCAATGGTAACACATACATGTGTATGTTACCAATGGTCACACTGAAAAAACCTGTCCTGAGTTATGGAAGCTGTGTAAGCTTCACTACTGTGGCCTAGCTTTAGTGGCATGTTTGTTACCTTGAATCCTCTTTTTGTGCAAAAGTCCATGATTAAGGCCCTTCGCTCAAATGTTGTATTTGTAGCATCAAATATCTGGTTAAAATCAAAAGACAGAATGATGAAATATTGGTATAACATTATCAATAATATTTGAAATATATTTATAGACAAGTTCCATGGTATAAACAATTTGTTCTATGATGAACAGAAGATACTTACTGCAACTTGTCCAGCACGAGTTAAAAACTCGCTGACATCTTCCAAGCAAGCTAGAGCACATTGTCTGTAGGAAAACAACAAGTTTTTGAATTGCTTTCAACTGTGGAACTCAGAAAGCAGTGAACAACGGAAAACTTCTGACAGTGATTGCCTTGCTTAGGTATGCCAATCAAGCAATGTAAATTACTGTGCACAGTGATGCTAAACATTTTCTGTCTTTGGGGTTTACTAACACATCCCAATATCCCATTATCAAGGTGATCACATTCAGTCTCTTGAGTTTGATGGTAAAAACATAAAATAATCATTTAAACAATTATTACATCCTCAATCAGTAAGTTTATCTCCTTTCTCATCACCTGTCTGATGGAAAATGCACCATAATTGTAAGAAAAAGTTAAACAGGTTTATGGAGTTATCATGCAAAATTATTTTGTTAATTTTAATTTGAGTTAATTTTGTTAACAGTTAATTTGAGCCACTTATTTTGTTACTAATAAATTAATGCTGATTTCTTTGTTCCAGTCTTAGTGCTGGTGTAATGAAAAGCAGTGGAAAAACTTATGCTTTTGTACAGTACACATGTCAGGATCTAACAATTGATGATTGCCCTTTGCCAGTGAATGTATGTGTTCACTAGCCTAGTTGGCATCCTTTACAAATGTATATTTACTAATTATACCAACGCACACACCTCCTAACTTTTTGTGCTTCGGCATTGTCCACACGGAAAAAGTCATGTAGTTTATCAGACCCCACTGCCCTTCTTCTGTACTCACCAACATTGAACACTAAACAAAGAAAAAGAAAGCATCTATTTGCAAGTCCTTTTAACAAACTTTCTATAACTTATTGCCTTAGTATGATATACCAGTGTTCTCCCTTAATTTAAGCATGGCAGGTAAAACAAATTTCCAAGAATTCCAAGCAATGTTAACCAGTAATAAGAGGTACTACAGGTGGTAAATGTTACCGGTTACTGCCTGAAAAGGAGAACACTGTATACCACAAGTGAATGTCAAAATTTTACTTAAATTTGAATATTACAATCATACTGTCATGCAATGCATATAATGTATTAAACAACTACCACTGGTTAACATGTAAAGGGCTATTCATCATAATATTTATTTACTTTATTAGTATAATTGCTGTGATGATTATAGAGATGTGTTCACTCTGATTGGTTGAGGATTGTGTCATATCTTGCTATAATCACCTTGCGCAAGGTGATTATAGTAGAGGCTCTAAATTTCAAAATGCAGCCTCGCATTTTGTCAATGTTAGGCAGGAAGAGATAAACATGATAAAACAAACTGCAGGCCTTAAGCACACAAAAGATGTTGTAAGCTTGGCAAAGCACTATTCAAAAGAAAAAAAACCAAGTTTTTACCAACTGAATCAAATGAATCTGTCAAATTCTAGTGGAAACTGGCTTATTCTGGTACAAGAAATCAAATCAATCATCACAGAACAGTCCACAAAAACAAAGAATTTACAACTAAATTCAAAATCACCTGAGTTAGCAATTATACTAAATTCAGTAATGCTCAGCAAATATTGTTGAATAATCTCCTTGACTTTGTCTCAAGGATTATTCAACAATGTTCACTTTGCCTTAAGCAAATAATTGTTAAAAAAGTAGGAGAAAAGACAACTAGATAAGCAGTGTGCTAGACTACAAGTCAAAGTCCTGGCACAATCATTTGCTGAGCAGAGGAGAGAATGTGCTGGGTGAAAAGATGAAGGCCAGAGATTAAACCCAACTTTTTGTTCCTGAGTCAAGTATATTGAACACTTCCAAGAAATGGTCACAGTGTAACTCCTTGCTACTCCACATGGGATCTTTATTGAGTTAAGATAATCATATGCAGTTTTTAATGGTAAGGATAATTATCCCAGAAAAAGCTAAATTTAATGTTTTTTTCTTCTATAAAAAGGGGATACGTATATA